TACATAGATTAATAGAAATGTGCTAATAATTAAGACAGAGCTAGCCAATAAGAAGCTTGAAATATCGACCAACAGTTTAGTAATTAATATGTCTCTATGTGCTTATTTGGGGCTGAAGGGTGGCAGGACAGAAACTTTCTTTTTTATCATTTTTTATTTGAATTAGAAACAAGATTGTTTTACATGACAATCCCAGTTCCCTTCTCCCTCCCATCCTCCCCTGCCCCCCCCCCCACTCCACCCCTACCTCTCACATATCCTTTCTTCTATTCTTCCCCTGACTCAACCTTTCTGCTCCCTCATGACCTCTGCACCCTTCCTCTTCTTCCCTTCTCATTCTCGTAGCTCCCTCCCCCCCTTCCCATGCTCTCAATTTGCTCAGGGGATCCTGACCCTTTCCCCTTCTCCAGGGGACCATGTATGTCTCTCTTAGGGGGACAGAAACTTTCATCTACAAGTATTGTCTTATAGTAAAGTAAATGCCCACACATTCATTCTTGGATAAGAGGAAACCACCAAGGTTGCCAGGTCCCCTATGAATGACAGCTGTAGATACATTTCTTAAGTCTTCTAACTCAGTTGCTTGCATCTTTCTTGAAGAAGAAAGGTCTCCTCTGGCCTTCAGTCTCTCTCTGCGGCAGAGTCCATTAATGCTTGGGAGGCTTCCCTAGACCTTCCTGGCTAAGCAGTGATCATGAGCCCGGTCCCTGGGCCCCACTTCTGAAGAGCAATTTCTGGCCCAGCATTAACAACTAGCCCATAAGGAAAAGCTTCAGTCTCTGTGACCATGAAATGGGATTAATAATTGATAAGTCAGGGTTTGGGGAGAACTGAATGAGTAGTGAGTATGAAATGACAGGCTTCTTACATGATATAAATCCTGGATGATACTATCAATCACTACAAATGGAAAACTAAAAACAAGGCCAGTCACTGTCATGGAACACTTCCTCCGGACTAGTCTAGAACTCCAGGATGACACAGAATTGTGAAATGTGTGGACAGGCTTTGCGTCAGTGGGAGCACCTGCCCAGTTCTGGGTGTCCCCTCACTGCGGGAGTCTGGCAGCTCTGGCTGCAGGTGGTCCCATGGAATCTGGCAGCTGAAGGTGATGGCCAGAGCCCAGACCCTCTTCCTTTGGGTGGAATCAAGGAAGTGCTCGGCAGGTGGGCAGTTTCTCAGTGAGATGCGAGTTCTTAGGGAACTGGCTCTATAACTGACACGACGAAGCAGACAAGGGTTCTGGCTGTTCTCTGGGCATGAAGAGGCACTGTGGGGAGGAAGCTCAGCATGAGCCCCAGCTGGCATGCTCCATGACATAGGAGTCTTTCTAGGGTTCACAGGCTGGTGGGAAGCTGAGAGAAAATCCAGTCCCAGACTGAGAGGCTGCTGAAGGGTGCTGCAGTGGACAGTACGGCAGTCTTTGCAGGTTTGTGTTGGGGGCCGGGGCAGGGGCAGACATATCCTTCTGAGAAGTGGAAGGACATGAGCTAACAAGCTACAGAAAGGCCTGGATGTCCAGGGAGTAGAAACAAGTCCTGTTGCTTAGCATTATGATCAGGGGGTAGAGGATCCCACAGCTCAGGATCCGGCCTCCTGGGGAGAGGGGTGTTTTGTGGGTGGGCTGGGTCAAGGCCTGGGTGCAGACAGACACCTCTAGGTAACACCAGAGAGTTGGGACTGACTATAGGTGCAGAGGGGAAGCTTGTTCCTTTAGTCTTTGTGTTCTATAATTGTGGGAAGAAGTAAAACACAAAGTATTGGGAAGATCTCAAAATGCCAAGCTAGGGTCCTTTTTAGGTTTCAAAAGAAGCCTTTAGCCTCTTTAGCCTGTCCCTGAAGACAAAATTATTCAACCCTATGCTTCATACATAATTGGATGCCAAAATTTCTCAGCTCCAGATTTTTAGTGGACCTACTGTTGACCTGCACTAATTAAGCAGCATTCTGTGTCTGAGAAATTACCACAGACAGCAGAGGAATTGCTAGGGTGATCTCTGATGGCCTAGTGCCCTGCCCTCATTAAAAAAAACAAAAACAAAAACAAAAAAACTGCAGAAATGATCTCCTTAAGAAGGAGGGTGTAGATCAATGAATCCAACTGCTCTCCGGTCATGAATATGGACAGTTAGCATTTCTATAATGGTGTGAAAAGATTTTTATTAGAATTGAACTATGAAAACTTTGTATTTCAAAACAACAGAGAAACTTCCAGAAGAACACTCAGATGGTCCTTTACTCTCTTCTTCGTCAGGACCTGAATCATAGCATCAACTCTACATGCACGGGAAACCAAATGAACCTTTCCAAAGGTGGAATTTGCTTCAAATTTACACGTTTTGCCTTTATAATTAGCTGATGTTTGAACTGTATACCACTTGGTCTTTGTTGCAGTTCGCTTCTCTGTTGCTGTGATAAAATACTAAATGTTAAATAAAAAGGGAGGAAAGGGCTTGTTTGGGTTCTATGTTCTGACACAGTCCATCATTTAGGGGAGTCAGTGTTGGAACTCAAGCAAGAGCAGAAGCAGGAACTATGGAGGAACTGATAACTGGCTTGCTGCTCAAGGCTTGCTCATCTTTCTTTCTTATAAAACCCAGGCCCACTGGAGTATCCCTGGCCATAGTGGGCTGGGCCTGACACATCAATCATTACTTGTGAAAATGTTCCAGAGACATGCCCATATGATAATCTGTTGGAGGGTGACACAGACTAAAACTAGGGCTGGGCCTCGGGAGGGCTCTGAGGTATAGCTTTGGTTATGGATAACAGCTGGCTACAGGGGATAGGTGATGGGTCTCACCTAGAGTGTTCACCTGAACTGTCCCAAGAATCCAGTACTGGGACTCTGATGACACCTCACTGGTTCAGTGTCCTTGAGGGCATCCCTGGATGCCTGCTACAGGGAGCCCTACCAATTTTACTGTAGCTACTGGGGAGAGAGCAGTGTAAGCCTGGGCCAGCTGTAACCTAGCAGTTCAGCTGGATTCACAGTTTATAAGGCACTAGGCAGAGAAGCCAGAGCACAACCAGACATGGAAGGTTGCCCCAGAATCAGTCCATGACAGAGTTTATCTAGGGTAGGACGGGGTATGGGGCCCTCCTTCAGGGGCCATGGCAAAATAAAGGACCAGGAAAGCTCCTGCCCATTCCCCAAACATCTACTCTTCCTATTTTCTTGTGACTTCTTAACCCATGCCGAAGACCACCTTAGCTTCAGGTGACAGGAGCGAAAGCGTAGGCTGCAGACTTCTGGTCGACTAGTGGACGAGTTTGACTACAACTTGTATTGTTTCAAAAGCTTCAACTTGTAAGACAGTTGGTTTCATGGCAGTTTGTGATGAGTGTTCAGCACTGGCAACTGCCATACAAAGACAAGGATGCAAAAGGCACATCTTGCACAGACCAGACAGATAGTAGTCCGCTTCTGCAGTTTACTGCACTCTGTAGCTCACTCAACCCCCTATAAAAGCCACTTGTTTTCTCTGTTTCCAGTCACACTTGCTGCCTAACACAAAGGACAATGCATACAAAGGCTCTGGACATGCTCCAGGGAATTCCTGAGTAAGCTCACATTTGAAATTGTTGAGGCAAAAGAAAAAAATCAGAAAAAAGTAGTGTTTTCTGAAATGCAACCCAGTAAGTGGACATTCAGAAAATGTGGAAACAATGGTCTTTTGGTCACACAGGCTCAGCAACGAAGTGTTCACTCTGGGGTCTAAAAGTCTGGCTGTCTTAGCTGGGGTTACTGTTGAGATGGAAAGTGTTCCTCTAGGGCTTAGAAGTCTACTGTCTTAGTTGGGGTTACCAGTGTTGTGATGGAAAGTGTTCACTCTAGGTTGTAGAAGTCTGTCTGTCTTAGTTGGGGTTACTAGTGTTATGATGCAAAGTGTTCACTCTAGGGCCTAGAAGTCTGACTGTCTTAGTTAGGGTTCCTAGTGTTGTGACAAAAGCACCCTGTGGAGGGAAGCATTTATTTTGCTCACAGTTCATCATCAAAAGCAGTGAGAGCAGGAACTCCCACAGGGCAGGAAGCTGGAGGCAGGAGCTGATGCAGAAGCCAGGGAGGGGTGCTGCTTATCAGCTTGCTCTCCATGGCTTGCTCAGCCTGCTTTCTTATAGAACTCAGGACCACCAGCTCAGGGATGGCACCTCACACAATGGGCTTGGCTCTCCCCTTTTGATCACAAATTAAGAAAATGCCTCACAGCTGGATCATATGAGGGCATCTTGTCAACTGAGGTTCCCTCCTTTCAGATAACTCTAGCTTGTGTCAAGTTGACATAGAACTAGCCAGCACATTGACCCTAGTAACCAAAAAGCCAACCCCTATCTCCTAAAGGTTTTACATTCCTCCCAATTAGTGCTTCCAACTGGGGACAAGTATTCAAATTGTGGACATACTTCAGATTCAAACCACAAGATTATCTGCATGATATTTGAACAAAGTTGAGTGAAAAAGAGGTGGTCGTTGCCTAATTGGAAGTTGAAATAGTGTTTAAGTATTTGGGGAAGATAGATACTAACTCAGTCATTTAAATTTGCATCAATACATTTTATTTTCTCTTAATACCTTTCTTCCAGAATTTACACTAATCAGCACCTCCTCTTTTGTACTCTTAGAGAAAAATCAAAGCAGTGGTCCTTGACACCAGTCTGAAGTGGTGGGTGGCTCCTCCAGGAAATCAAGTCCTCAAAAAGGCTGGGGAAGGCGGGGTCTTAGGCACACTACTCCATTGAGGGAGTGGAGTCCCAGCTGTTGCAGCGCTGGCACATAGCAACTCAACTTGAAGTCCCTCTTGTAAACAGCTCCTGTCATAATTCAAATGGCAACAGGCCTTGTGACTGCAAAGGTCCAGGCTCTGTAGGCATCACGGCTGTTCCCTGTGGGACACTACAATCATATGTGCAGACTCTTGGGTTGTGACTTGTCATCTCTGATCCCACCCAACATGCCAGGCAAAGGACAGAAGAGCTGCTTGTCCTCATGAGAAAGATGTTTTCTGACCCAGCCCTCTATACACTGTTGACTAACTGGTGCCCACCTGGGTGGGACTGTCTGGGAGGCTGCACAGTGCCAGTACAATGAGTGCCAGGTCCCCTTGGTTCATGTTTAGAAAGGGGTTAAGTTGACCCTTTTTTCCAAGATCCAAAGGGGGAATACAACATTTCTATGTGTGTAACTTTTTTAAAAAATCAAGAGTCATAAAATAATCAGTGCAAGATGCCTATATGCCCTCCCCAGAATCCCTGGTTCTAGGCCCAGGTACAGCCATCTTGTCCCTGTCTTCATTGTCAGTTTCACTGCCTTCTTGCTTTGGTTGTCTCCACATGAGGGACCATCTCTTCCACTCATGTTTAGTTTTCTGATCAACTTCAAAAACTGCAGATAACCCCTTCGGACGGTTGGCCAAACTTGTATCATTTCTCTTCTAAGCTACCTACGCTATTTCCATTGAGCTCTTGTCCTTCTGGAATCTATGATGTCCTCATGAACAAGATAAAAGGGGGAGCTGAACTATAAATTTTTAAGCATGCACTTTACAAACTCAAGTGCATGCAGTAGTAGATTAGTAAGAATTAGGTATCAGTAAGTGGGAGATAACTTGAGGCCTCATGCCCCTAGGGACTAAGAGCCTCAATGGCTACCATAACCTGTCACCTACTCATCTGGAAAAATGAAAAATCTCCCATGGCTTATGGAGCTTTCTCAACCTCTCTGGTGCTGGCAGCTCCCACAAGCTCAGAATGCAGAGCACTGTGAAGCTAATGCCACAGCATAATAATGGGGGAACTTACACAGAAGAGACAAACCAAAGGAATTTGGTCCTAATTAGAATATGAGTAAACTTTGGTCAGTAATAACAAAGAAAATAAAAGACATGAAAGAGAAAAGAATAAGGGGAGTGAAAGCATGGTTTTAGGGTCACTCCTTTTTTTTTGTCTTTTGAAGAATACATTCAAATGAGAGATTTCTGTGGTCAGGCACCAACATGCCAATAGTTCAGCTTCATCATGATATCAAGAATGAGCTTCTGGAGGGGGGGAAGCTGTGGCTTGTGACCTATGTGCCCACAAGACCCACAGACACCTGTACCTGCACACACACTTTGTCTTTTCTCCACTAGCCACCTGTTATATGCATAGCATACGAAAGGCCAGCTCCCTCCCAAAACGGGCCTGGAATGCAAAGTAGTCTGTTTAAACTGGGTGAAAAGAATGAGACCCACATCTGCAAAGAAAGCTTTTTGGGGAATGGGAAAAATGAACAAAAAATTGCTTATTCCAGAAGGTCTGGGCCAAATCCCTCTGTGGCCAGCCTTGGGACCACAACCACATTCTTGCTTTGATGTTTTCAAACACATGGATGTGCCAATGTTGAGCAAACCCATGACATATTCCCCAGAATATGAATCATTTTATCTTTCAAATACCAAAGCAATCATAGGAACCTCTCATTAGGGACAGAGAAGACCAGACTTGAGCACGGCTGTCCATCTTCTGTCCCCTGGGCCTTGTTCATCTTGAAGACCAAAGAGGGACATCGAAGGTAGATAGCCCAGGGCCGTGGCTCCTTGACACCTTGCAACCTCAAGTGCAGCCACCACAGTGGCAGGTGTGAGGCAAAAAGCCATAGAGTACAGGAGAAGCTGAGCTAGCTTCTGTAGTGTCCAGTGATGCTTCATGCCTCCGCCCTCTCTTCTCTATCCCTCTCTACCTCCTCTCTAGGCACCATCATGAAACAGATGCTGGCTGGCAGATGGGCCATCGTTTCCACTGTTTCTATGGGGGATTTCTTAAGAAGAGGGAATCTCAGAGTCCTACAGAAGGGGAAGCCAACAAGGGCCCCTACAAAACCTGCCCCGTGTGCCTCAATGGCTAAGCCATGGATTCTTTCTCTCATGTCTTCCCGTATTCTTACCAGCAGGTCAGAAGTCACTCAACCACAAACAGCTGAAGTTTCCCATCCAAGGTGGCAGTGGTGAGCTGCAATACAAAGTAGAGCACCACATTATGACTCCCTGGTTTTCACTGATTGAGTAATCAAAGAAGAAACTGGTCACAAAGTTTACACATTATTTGCCATGTTTCAGATCAAAGAGCAAAACTCATTTAGTAAAATCTGCTGCAATAGTATGATACATCTACTTCATTAGTCCAAGGCACATTCCACCGATGCTTTAGAATCTGAAATGCTTTGACCTTAGGATTCTGAGTTTCAGGGCAGCCTGGGTGACAAGATTTTATTTCCACAAAAAGTCAACAAAAATGGAGGCCACAGGACCCATGGGACATTGTCAAGCAGACCAGCATGTGCCTGCAGGAATCTCGGGACAAGAGCAAAAGAATCGGGGAGAATATTTAAAGAAATAATGTCAAAAAGATTACACAAATTGATAAAGGATATATAAACATCTGTGCTCAACAAGCTCCCAAGATGGACTGAAAGAGATCCTCACTCATTCACGATGTAGTCAATCTCAAAAGCTAAAACCAGGTTGAATCCTAGTCAGCAGAAGAAAAGTGGCTCACCAACCAGGATACCCTCTGTGGTTGATAGACTAAAGCAATTAAAGGAAAAGGTCCCTGATAACTGAGAATCCTGCATCTGGTAAACACTGCAGTCATGGTGGGGATATTGAGACTTCCCAGGTAAGGAAAGGCCAAGGGAGCTCATTATCAGCAGACCTATACTGTAAGAAATGCTGGAGTATTTTTTACTCCACTTACAAGTGGAGTAAAGGACTTTACAGGTGAACTCAAAGCCACATGAGGATAAAGGTCTCAACAGAGGGAAACATATGAGCAACTATTAAATTAATTCTACAGTGATAGAACTCTATAATTTTTGAGACTTTATTTTTGTGTGTATGGGTATTTTTCCTGCATGTATGTCTGTGTACCTTGTGCACTCAGTGCCATGGAGGCCACAAGAAGGTGTCTGATTCCCTGGGACTGGAGTTACAGATGGTTGTGCGCCATTATGTAGGTGCTGGGAATTGAATCCAAGTCCTCTTGAAGGGCAATCAGAATTCTTAAACATGGAGCCATTCCTCCAGGCCTTCAGTAACAATTTTTAGGAGATGAAGACATTACTAAAAAATTATTAGCATCAAAAAATTAATATTGTAACTTGGATTTACAACTCCATGTTTTCATATATAACTTAAGAAGCAAGTGACTTGAAGAAGAGAGCAACAATGCAAAAGGGAGCAGGTGAACAGTGTGTCATCCCCCATTCCTGCCAAAGTCAAGTTTACTCAGAATGGAGCTCCACTTGAAAAGTGGAGTTTGCCGGTTCATTAGTAAAACCTGGAGTGTTTGGTGATCACTCTGGTGACCTGGGACCTGTCAAGAAGCCAATGCTCCTGGACCACAGGGGACTCACACAAGAGCAAGCTGCCATTTTTTTCTGGCCTAAGACTATGACAGGGTCAGGAAGACAGGAACCCTTGGGCTGGGTGTTCCCTTTCCTTGTCTAATTGAATTGTCTGATGTGACAAAGTGCAGTCACCTTCCGGACTTTTCTTCTGCCTCCTGAATCTCTCCTTCTCTGAGACATTGCCCCTTCTCTATTCAGGACTAGGCCACACTGGCAAGCAATCTGCCGCCTGTCCACTGACTTGACTGCATAGAAGAGGGGGCAGATGGCAAGGTCAGTGCCTTCCTCCGTCTGCCTCAGCCCCCAAGTGTCTTCAGTGGACAGAGAACGTGGGAGCCCAGGTGCCTGCTCCACCAGCCCAGAAGCATCTCATCCATTTCTCGGATACTTTCTTTCTTTTAGGCTATTGTAAATCAGATTGTATCCATAATCTCTTTCTCTGTATGCTTGTTGTTGGGGTATGGAAAAGCTATTTATTTGTTCAAGTTTATTCTGTACCCTGCCACATTGCTGAATTTGTTTATTTTTTATAGAAGTTTTGTGGTAGAATTTTTAGGATCGCTAATGAACAGTATCATGTCATCTAAAAATAGGGATAGTTTGACTATCTTTCCCTACTTGTATCCTATGAATTTTTCCTTGCCTTGTTGCCCCAACTAGTACTTAAGTACAACATTAGAAAGAGTGGGAATAGTAAACATCCTTATCTTATTCCAACTTTAGTGGGATCGCTTCAAGCTTTCTTTAGGATGATGATGGCTGCGGGTTTTTCGTATGCAAGTTGGTTGTGGTGTAGGCAAGGGTAGCCAGACAAAGCTAGTGCACTGGGTGTGGGATCTGAGCTAGCTATGACAGGTTGGGGAAAAGGAATGGATGGGGCCAGTCAGGAAGACTCGTGGGACTAGACTCTGGGGAAGGATGTGGGAGATCTGGCTGATTTATATCAGTTCTCCTCATCAGTCTATGAGTAGCTTTCTGGATTGACAATCTTTCAGACTGACATTAATGAACTTTTGCTTTCTTACGTGGTATCAGTGAAATTGTAGCAAGCATGGTTACCCTCTTCAAGTGTCCAGGAGAATCTAAGCAATAACTAGCAATAACAGGAATTCCACATGCTTATTAATGAAAGGCGGAGAGTTGTGGTAAATGTTTGGTGTTTAGGCTTATTTACCTTCTGGTTCGGCTTGGAAAGACAACTTATTTTAAAAATAGAAGGATCAGTTAAGACCTATGGATGATCCTTCAAGAGGTTCCAAACTGTATCCCACAGAATTCAGAAGACAAAAATAAAGGCAATGCTTAGGAAGCAATTTTTAAAGGACAGAAAATGACACAGCTTAGATGCCAAAAGTGAATGAGATTTTCAAAGTGTTGATAGTAAGTTTATAGAAATGTAATATTTACAACAAATCAAACTTCCATTTGTGTGAGATGACAAAATAAAAAAGACATTATCAGATATAATATGTAACTTCAAAATACCAAATGAAACTTCAAAATATCACTGAAGAATGAAATGATCTATTACAGGAGAAGGGAAACATGAGATAGAAAAGCAATGACCCTTCCTAGGGTCTGAAGTCTCTAGAGACGGAGCAGAGATGATGGCCTTCCATTTACTTTGGTTCCTTTTTCTCTTCCTCTTTCTTCTGCATTTTATTAGTTCTTTGAGAATTTTATATAATGTATCTTGATTACATTTATTCTTCTTTCCCAACTCCTTTCAGATACACCCCTACTTCTATGCCCAAACAATTTTAAAAAACAAAAACAAAATCCTCAAGTGCTGCCCACATACTCTTGAACACGTGGCCGTCCACTAAAGCACGGTTGACCTTCCAGGAGCTGCAGCCATAAAGGGAGCTGACTCTCCATCTCCCAGTAGCTATCAGTTGCCAATAGCTCCTCAGTTAGAGGTGCTAGATCTCTGACCTCCCAACTTCAGACTTGGGGAAGGGTTGGTTTCCATGTGATGAGCTGATGTGAATATAGGAACCACTTCCTAAACTTCATTAGCACCACTCATTCACTGCTAACCATGCTCTGGAAATATCTTTGAGTCATTGCTCCATGGGCATCTTGGGCAAGCTTCCCTGCTTTCTGAATCCCTGGCTTGGTTCAGCTCTGACTATTGTCCTGTTTCTATGGCAACATTACAGGACTAGAGGAATGCATGGTAGCACTAGTGAGCGTGAGGTTGTAGTGACTGCCCTGCAAGCTGAAAAGAAATGGAACCTCAGGGCCAAATCAACAGGGGACAACATGGACGTGTAGAACTAGAACGTGTGTATAGTCACTGAGGTTGTCCTTTGCTGTGTCTGCATTTTTCATTTAGTGAACATGAAATAAACAAATGGATTCTGAATGTAAGTAGCTATGGCACTCACTGTCAGCCACATAAGTGTCCAGGGAGAGAAAGAGATGAACACAGCCCAACACTTTTGAAGATGACATCATGATATGATGTCAAAAAGTTGGATGTCCTTGAAAGGAATATACACAGTGACCAAGTAGTGCTTACCAGGAATGTAAAGTTGATGGAAAGTTGTATTAATTACTTTTCTATTTGCTGTGATAAAACACCATGACTAAGGTAACTTACAAAAGAAAACATTTGATTAGTGTGCAGTGTTCAGAGGTTAAAGTCCATGATGGGGGGAACAAAGGCATAGTTGAGAACTCATTTCTCAAACTTCAAAGCACAAAGAGAATGGCACCACTCTCTAGAGACCTCAAAGCCTTCCGGTGACACACCTCCTCTAGCAATGCTTCCAAGTCTTTCCCAAACAGTGCCACCAACTAGAGACCAAGAATTCAAACATACACAGGGTTGTTCTCAAACCACCACAAATTAAGAAAAAGAAAATCAAGAAAGAAAAAAGTTTATCTGATACAGTATAAAACTAAGTAAAGCACAGACCGCATAATCATCTCAACAGGACAAAAAACATTACACACAAATTAAACCTTCTCGTGATTATAAAAACACCAAATAGACTAGCAATAAAGTGGTCTTCCCTGCACACTACCAGGCCAGGCATGCAAAACCCACAACTTAGGCAAAGTCCTGGAAATGTCTACTAAAATCAGGAACACAACAAAGACAGCTGCTCTTATAACTGGAAATAAATAAAGAGAAATATAACTCATCTGGAGTGGGGAGACTTGAAACTTACTTTCAAATGATAGAATCATATGTACATAAAGAAAGAATCAGTCAAAAATGATTATACGTAATAAACAAGTCCAGCCAGACCACAACGATCAATATATAAAAATGAACTTCATTTCTATATGATTACACCCCATGATCATTCAAAATTAAATTTGAAGATATTAGGTGGAAACAAGAGTAATAAATGGTATTTGTGGCTGAATCTTATTTTCTCTCCTGTGAATGTGTGACACACACACACACACACACACACACACACACACACACACTCAGAAAGAAATCCAGAGAGCTTCCATAGTGGCCACTGGGGGAAGGCTCAGTGTCTCAGAGTTGTCATGTTTTTTCCTTGTGTTTTTCTGCCTCCTCTCCCCCTCTGTTTCTCTCCTGTCTGTCTTTCAGTCTGTGCACACCTCCCTCCATGTATTG